AATCGATTTATTATTTTTTTCTTATTCTCAAGAAGTTTTGTGAAAACATATATTTGAACCTTACGTTTAAGTAAAGCCATGTAAAAACACGTATTTTAGACGTCGAAATGAGAACGTCTAAATAAAGTTATTTAAAGACGTCATTTGGCGTTTCCATTTAGCACTAGTTCTGAACGTCCTAAATTCACGTATTTTAGACGTCTAAAAACACGTCTTTATTGCGTCTTAAAAAGACGTCCTAATTACGTCTTAAAAAGACGTCATCTGGCGTTGCCATTTAGAACCAGTTCCGGACGTCCTAAAAAGACGTCCTTTCGACGTCATATGGACGTTGCCGTGCCCGCTGGGTATAGATTTCCGATTCGCTTAATTGCTTAAAGACACCATGTGCCTTCTCGTGCATATAAAAATGAAGGGTTATGAAACCTGACAGTTCCGACGAGACCAGGCTGAGCTCGGCGAACTCTACTGTCGGCGAACTCGACTGTCTGAGACAGAGTTAGGGGTGACACCAAAATGAAAAATTTCTGACTAGCAACAACTTGTTTCCTCTCACAAAAATCAATTTTCTTTTCATTTTGGTGTCACCTCTCTGTATCAAGCTGTGATGGTGTCACCCGGTGCGGCCCGCACCCTCCACACCCCCTAGCTACGCCACTACCCTATGGATGGAATAGAAAATAGCAGTACCAATCGTAAAACAAGGAAAAATGCTACAAAAGAGCACATTGAAATGCTTTATTAAAAGAAATCAATCTACAACAAGCATATCCACTTCTCTTAATTTATCGAAGTGCACAGTTCAAAATCTTGACGTTAAGTTAAACAGAGGATAATTCAACGACATGACTGCATTCAAGTCGTTTTCTGATAAAAAACGAGGTAAAACAGTTATAAAAAATATTATCGAATTATGCGTACAAGAAAACAATCTTTGCACGCAAGAAGCAATAAAAAAAAATCACTCTGCAGCAGGCTTCAACATGTCTCAGCCTACTATTTCAAGAAAACTCAAACGCTCGGATTTATCAAGAAAACGTGTTGTGCATGTGCCAGAAGAACGAAACTCAAAACAAGTTATTAATGCACGCTATGCGTTTGCCAGCGAAATTAACGGAATTTCAGATGAAAAACTTATTTATTTGGATGAAACTGGATTTAATGTGCACCCTAACAGCACATATGGTTATTTGCTAAGAGGTACGCTAGCAATTTTACAGTCATCTGCAAATCGTGGTAAGAATGTTAGTTTAATTTGTGCTGTTTCAACAATGGGCGTGCTTGCTTATGAAACAAAAACTGGAGGCTAGAATGCAGATTCATTTTGTACTTTCATAACTACAATGATGGCACAAGCGATTAGGAATGCAAATGTGGAAGCGCCGGTGCTTGTTATGGACAATTGTAAATTCCACTGGAGTCTTTTTGTTAGGCAAACACTAGCCTCTCATGGTATAGCTATTAAGTATCTGCCAGCTAACACGCCACAGCTTAATCCAATAGAAGAATTTTTTTCTTCTTTAAAACATACTTACAAACAGGGAGAAAGACCTCGAAATACGGATGAGGTAATCAGGAAACTTAAAAATATAATGGATACTACAGAGTTTAATATAGTTCCATTTTACAACCATATGCGTAGTTATATAAATCAAGCGCTGGCTCGGCAACCATTTCTTAAATAAATAACAATGAAAACAACCTAATTTATATTTTAAATATATCTATATAAAAATTTAAAAGCGTATTTATTGTTTATACTAAATTATATTAGGGTGGTTGACCCATTCTTATATGACGCATATAAACGCGCATACAAGAATGAATAAACACGCATATAAGAATGAATAAATGCGCAAATAAGAATGAATAAATGCGCATATAAGAATGAATAAATACGCATATAAAAATGAATAGACGCGCATATAAGAATAAATAACCCTGTAAGCAAGTTTTCTCAAAAGAAACTACTTTAAATTCAAAAAAAAAAATCATGGGATACGAGTTAAGTTCTTAGGTAACCTTGGGTTATCTGCTTTAATATTCAAGTTAAAACCGCCCAATAAGTAATCGTATTTTTTTTACGAGCTTTGGTAACAAAAAGTAAGTAATTTCAAAATTTGTTGTAACTACCACTTGGCGGTCTATAAAATGCTGTTTTAAATGTAATTTTAATTGGTTTATTAATTATTTCTAGAGTATATGACTCACAATCACGTCATTCAATCCACATTTACTCTAAATTTCCGCACAATCCACGTCATTTACTCTGAATTTATCATCAAGCTTACAAATCAATTAGTTATTGACAAAAATGGATATGCCGCTAATACGGTTGATGGACGGAATTATATCTCGTTTATTGAAAGTTTGAGATATATCGTGTGTTTATGCTTCTGATATTTAAATTTAATAATGAAAGATAAGATAACAAAGATTTAAGAAAATGTTTAACATGTTGTAAATGTTGCAATAATTTCTTTCTACAGAAATATCGTCTAAAAAGTTAATGTTTGTATCAGCGTCATTTTATTAGGCTATGTGTGTTTTTACTTCCTGATATATCAATACTGTTGGCTTCCGCCATTTTAACAGTAATAACTAAAAATACTATTTAAAACACAAAAATATATAAAAAATAAAATTAAATCTTTAAACGTTCTTATGTGATTTCTTAAATTTTTCAACTATTATCATAAGTATCGACAGAATATGTTTAAATCTTTTGTTAGTTATTTAGGCGTTCCAAGAGGTTCTAACGGTTTTATCAAAGGGCAACACAGAATAGCAATTACCATGAAATTTTTTACAAGCTTTGGAAACAAAAAGTTTAAGAGATTTTCAAATTTACCGTTATTTACTGTTAGTTCTGTGAGTTAGCGTTTCTTCAAAAAGATTTTTCCTTATGAAAATGGTTTCCAGAGAATAGTCTTCATTTATAAATATTCCTATTCCTTTTAACTTTTTTTAAAAGTTTTTTTTTAAATTCTAAAAGTACGAAAAGATACTGTATATATTGAAAAAATGTTTTTGAATATTATATATATATATATATATATATATATATATATATATTATATATATATATATATATATATATATATATGCATGTATGAATGTACGTATGCATAAAACCAGGTTGCTTCTCTGATCGGAATCACATACTAATTTGTACTTTACAATCAAATCATTGATTATTATAAATTTATGTTTTCGTAATGAACTGAAAAAGAGGCTTTAAACATATATGCTTTGAATACAAATAGAAATAAAATAAACAGGAGTACAAAGTTTTTGAGTAAATATACATATATGCATTTGTATTTTTAAATCATTTAACAAAATATTGTTCAAATAAAATTTTAGAAAATGCCGAATATTTATTCTTAAAATTCTTTATTATAATTTGGTAAATATGCATAGAAAAGTAGAAACTGTATTTCTAAACAAATATAAATTTAAAATATTTTTATGCACACATTTAACAAACTGCTCTGTGGAACAATGCTTTTCGTTTTCTAAAAAGGTTGAAAACGTATTTAAGATCTATCGAGAAATAACAGCGTTTAAACGCCTTATCTTACTAATCATTATCAATAGAAAGCAATGTTACTTTTGATTATACTGATATAGTTGATGATTCTGATGACCAAAAATCAAAGAGAAATATTTTGTCGTGTATTTTTGCTTTTTATTAAATCAATAAAAATTAACAAAAAGATTGGCATTTAGTTTTTTAATTAACAAAGATATTTTATTGTTAATATAGATAAGTATTATTTACTTTTTTTTTTTTTTTTTTTACAAGTTATAGGGCAACAGTTATTAAGTTCAGAGGCAATTCTACGGGGAAAGTAGGGAAAGCTAGGGAAGTTACACCCCCGCCCCCAGTTATAGTGATCTTCAAGTTATACTTGGTTCTTTTACGAAGTTAGTTAGCTAGTCGGGTATTTGACACAATTCAGTCAAGTAAATTTTAGTTTTTAGGATCTTTTTTTTTTTTTAGGAGCCAGTTGGTACTTTTTAAGTATTCATCCCCCCTCCCCCACTCATTTTATTTGTAGAATCGTCTCTGATTAAGGTTAAGGTTATCATAAATGTGACACTGATTGTAACTGATGAAACAAGTTTTGATAAAAAGTTTAAAACGTTATTTTCTTTTTCTTCTTCTTTTTACTAATTATTAATAACATTTAATATTAGTCATAATTACAACTAAGTTATTATTATAGGTTTTTATTTGTTTGTCTTTTTTTGTTTTATCATATAGCTAAGCCTTAGGTAGACTTATTTACAAGTTGTAATTCTTATTAAAATCTATAAAAAAACTTCACACCATCGAATTATTAATAAAAATTGTATTAATAAAGTAAATGTATGTTTTCAAAAGGTTCAGCATAGTTTTATTGAATAAATTAAAAGCAAAAAAACCTTTAGAGTTAGCTTCAAGAATCAATATTTAAAAAAAAAATGTGGTAAAGACATTCTACAAATATCTTTATGTGAAAATGTGATAAATACATTCGTAGAATGTCTTTATCACATTTTTTAAAAATAGATTCTATGATAAAGATATTCATAAAATGTTTATCACAGAATTGTTATATTGAATCCCTAAGTACTTGATAAAGTCTTAATTTGGATTACATTTTGGAATAAAAAGTTTGGTTTCTGATTAAATAAAAAATGAAAATTTAAATACTGTTAGGGAGGGCCCATGTTTTGCTTTATACACGAGCTAATCATGTTAGAGCAGCCGTGGCGCAGTGGTAGCGCACTTGCCTCAGAAACGTAAGACCCGTGGTTCAAACCCCACCTCTGAGCAAGTTTTGCGACATCGGTTGGGAAGGAGGCGTGAACTTCCCATTAAATGCTCTTCCGCGGTGCTCTGTGATAAGACCGTAAGGACTTCTTGGGGCACCTTAATCAACTTAAAAAAATGTTCAGTTGCATGTTTTTTCTGAATATCAATTTGGTTTTTGTTCGAAGATTTTTGAGAG